GCCTAGTCCTTGCATCCATCCAAAATTCTTCTCTCATGATTTCTGGCAATAAATCAAATGTTTTTGAAACACTCACTTTTTGTATGAGCTGTTTTTGTATGAGCATTTAAAGTGTAAGTACAGGCTAACAATAAAACACTCCCAGGTGAAAGCTCCAAGAATAAAATTGTTTGTATTATTATCTAGACATTTAGTACATGTGTAGTCCACCATCTTTGTTTTATGAGTAAAACATGATGTCATAGCATCTGTTGTGAAATGATTTCATATAAAAAAAAACTGTAAATTGCAATACATTTGTGAAGCTTTCATCTGAAAGTACCATGGTGCTAACAAGGACTTATCCCTATAAGACATGCGATGCTATATGTACAAAATGTGTATTGTATGATAACTTTAGTTTCTTTTATTTTTCATCAGAATGTGAATCTCCAGTGTCATTGAAAGACATCATTGTTTTTGCAACAGGCCTAGATGATATACCTCCTTTGGGATTTAGTCCTTCTCCAACTTTGGAGTTTAATGAAGGGAAAGAAGATACAAATATGGTTTTGCCAATGGCTAATACTTGTTCTAACATACTTAGAATTCCCCTTGTGAAGTCGTACAAGATATTCAAAGATTCAATGAAATTTGGGCTTCAAAATAGTGCTGGTTTTGGGAGAGTTTAAACCTCTAACATTTGCAGCACATTGTGGTTCTTCAAATTAGCATATTACAAGTCACATTCTATAGTTTTTCTAATGTATGGCAGAGGGATCATCTGTTTAGGGATAACCAGGTAGATAAAGTTTTGAATTGTGAGCCACAACTGCAAAGTAAGGTTAACAAAAGGGATAAATTATTTTCCAAAGCAACAATGTTATTTATATTTTCGAATTTATTAGTCCCCGTTCGGACGCAGTCCGAAAACAGGGACTTATGTTTTGACCTCTGTGTGTCCGTGCGTGCGTGCGTCTGTGCGTGCGTCCGGACCTGTATCTTAGAAATGCCTGGACCAATCACAATCAAACTTCACACATACATCATACATGATATTATACATATGCACGTCAATTTGTTTCTTGATCTGATTCAAGATGGCCGAATGGCGGCCATATTTGTGCTAAATATCATCAAAATCAAGCATTTCTCGGCTGTTTACAGATGGATTTTGTTCAAACTTGGTATATACATTAGACATTATAGGTCCTTGGTGCACATCATTTTGTTTTACGATCTGATTCAAGATGGCCGAATGGCGGCCATCTTGTTTTAATGAATGTGGTTCTCGTGCCATATCTGACTTGCTTTCACTGATTATGTTAAATTTTAAATATTCATTATACATCATGTCATGGATAGACAGATATATTGGTTTGACTATCTTATTCAAAATGGCCAAATGGTGGCCATTTTTTGTGCTAAAAAAATCATCAAATATCAAGCATTTATGGATGGATTTCGTTCAAACTTGGTACATATATTAGACATTACAGGTTCCTGATGCACATCATTTATTTTTCAGATCGGATTCAAAATGGCTGTCTGGTGGCCATTTTGTTTTAATGAATGGGCTTCTAGACCCATATCTCCGACTTGTTTTGACTGATTATATTCAAATTTTAAATATTCATTATACATCGTGTCATAGATAAACAGATATATTGGTTTGACGATCCTATTCAAAATGGCCGAATGGTGGTCATTTTTGTGCTAAAAAATCATCAAATATCAAGCATTTCTGGCATTTATGGATGGATTTCGTTCAAACTTGGTACATACATTAGACATTACAGGTTCCTGATGCACGTCATTTTATTTTTGCAGATTGGATTCAAAATGGTTGACTGGCGGTCATTTTGTTTTAATGATTGGGCTTCTAGAGCCATATCTCTTAAATGCTTTGACTGATTATATTCAAATTTTATATATTCGTTATACATCATGTTATATATATACATATATTCAAAATGGCTGATTTTGAATGCTGTTCCAGAGCAATATCTCTCAATATGGACAAGTATTTTTTTGACGATCAGATACAAATGTCAATCAATCATCATAATCATATTCCTGACATGGTTATATTCCAGCTATATTACTATATAAAACTATACATCTTAAATTTGATAACTAACGGGGACTGTGCCATGCATGGCTTGTTTTATAATGTATTAATATTATTCGAACACAACATTTGTAGATTAGTCATATTATGCGAGCTATAAATTCACTTAAATGTTTCTCATCTCTGTTCGTGGTGGAAGAAATGTACAAGATCTCATCAGTCTCCTCGCACCATGCAGCAATCGGGTGTATATTACCGGTATTAAGGATAACACTTCCTTGGACAACTATTTTGATGTGTACAACCATTTGTTTTTGACTAATTTAATTTCTTAAAATTCATTAAATGTGCAAAAATATATATACATGTATATTGAGATGCAATAAAACTAAAACCCAGTGAAAACTTATTTTTCTATGACATATAAACCTTTTGTGTTTCAACATAGTGGGAAAAATTTCTTTAAGTTGCATGCATGAAGCTATGATCTTTCAGGAATTAAAATAGTCAAAGTTCTTGTAGAAGCGGATTGTTTCTTTCTACATGGAGATATACATTTGACTATCAATGAATAAAGTTAATATTTTCAGTAATGTGACATCATGTCTTTCTGATGGTGAAGTCTGTCAGTATAAATTAACGGCTGAAAACATATTTGTTTCAGCTTACAATTTATATATTTAATCATACATTAAACATTCTTATACTCTCACTTTTATTTTGACTTGTGTAAATATGCCATAATATCATCTGGACTGTTGTGTAATGTGAATATAAATATAAATACAAGTGTGTGATATGCAATCTCTACATCAATACAAGAGTGGTTTACAACAAAGCTGATATGGCGAAATTCAAAAGCAGCCAATAGAGGGTGGACTAATTTTTCACACAAAATATTCACCAAAATTAGAGAGTTGAAGATATCATCCTGAAATGAACAAATCTAAGAGAGGTCTACAGCATTGTATAAATGGACATCAGAAAAAAAATGAGCACCAGCAATTGCATATACCATATGATTATTTTTTATATAACATAATAAAATATATTTCCTGTGCTTATGAAAATATCTAGAACACATGTTTTACTGACTTTTATGAAAATTACAACTACTTACCATTGCAGAACTGTTTAAGAAACACAGCCTTCAACATATTTAGTCACAAACCTAAAAGGGTTATGGTCCGAACTACAACAATAACATATAATATTATTTATAATACAAAATAAATAAATACAACAAAAATAAATTGTAAAACAAAACATTGCACATATACTTAAATAAAGAATAACAATTGGATTGATTGCGATAAAAAGACAAAATACTTGTTTTTAAATTTCATTATCATTATCATTATTAACTCATGATAGTAGTAGCACGCAGGTAAAAAAACACTTGACCGTATGGTCGTCCAGGGCAAACCTACCTTCATATACCTTCATATGTTGTTGGAATACAAGAGGGTTCAGTAACTACGGTATGTCACTATGATTGAGCCAAGAACGTACGGAGTCACGCTCAGGCCGCCATGCTTGTTCGACTGTACCATTTTCTTTACGGGGGTCTCTGCTTTGATTGCCTAGGGTGAGTTGCTAAGTCTGCGAGAAACTTGCTTACATATCGCGGAAGTTGCTGAGTGGGCGCGGAAATTGCTAAGTCTGCGAGAAACTTGCTTACATATCGCGGAAGTTGCTGAGTGGGCGCGGAAATTGCTAAGTCTGCGAGAAACTTGCTTACATATCGCGGAAGTTGCTGAGTGGGCGCGGAAATTGCTAAGTCTGCGAGAAACTTGCTTACATATCGCGGAAGTTGCTGAGTCGGCGCGGAAATTGCTTACATATCGCGGCAGTTGCTGAGTCGGCGCGGAAAGTTGCTGATTCGGCGCGGAAGTTGGTTACATATCGACAATTGTCGCCATGGGCCACCGTATGATTGGACAGTGAAGCGGCGACTTGAAGTCTGGGTGCGTCGCGAATGTATCAAAACAAACTTCCACAACATTGGAAGCAATTGCTGTACATTTACCGACAATGTTGATAATAACTTGCTGTAGTGTAGCAATATTTAGTTAAACGATAGTAAAAGAATTAGTAAAATAACTTCAGGGGTTGCAATATATATATATATAGATATCTATCTGTTCTATTTTTATAGAAGAACCTTCCCAAATAAAAGAAATTCTAAAATTTAAAAACATAAGAGGTAGTCACTAAACCATGTACTTTCACACTCAAGCAAGAGAATAGACATGTTGGTGAACTAGCCTTGCACTGTGAGTGTTTTATTGTTTACACTCTGTAAAATACCAGTTTTTTCACAAATAAAAAAATTTAAAAAAAAAGAACTGCAGACCTCACTTCTTTATATTTTTGAGTGGGCCAGCCAAGTTTCCACATACAAAAATACACATAATATTTCTATTTAATTTATTTTATTTTATAATATAATATTGCCACTGAATTCTTTAAAATAAATTTACCATTTACAAATTAATGTGTTGGACACTATATAATCTTAATATTTTACAATCCATATCCTTATATTTGAATCTGTTTCAAGACATTTGAAAAAAATATTTTAGAAGCATAACAATACAACGACTAGATTTGGTGTCAGTTTGCTCCCAATTCATACTGGAATATTGCCAGCAATAATTAATAATGCTTGTTCTACAACAGGATCTACAACAGTAAATACACAGAAATCATTTTGATGCCATGTTTTTAGACGACACCGCCATATCGCACAGATATTCAACACCGCCATATTGAATTTGGATTTGGACCATACCATTTCAAGCTGCAGGGTGTCTAAACAATGACTCAACAAACAATAAACACATCTTCCACCCACCACACAAATTTTAGCCATAATTGAACAACCAAGAAAGCAACAAATATCAGGCTGCATCCTGAAAATAACGAGATAGCGCATTACAACCAGTCATTACAAACATGAAATCCTCCACCCATCCCAGTACACCCTACAGCATTAATGGTTCCTATACTCATTTGCATCTATGTACAACAAGCTTAGCCAATAGATGCACCTGACTCATCAAACTTTTGACCAACTACTCATTCTAAATATTGTTGAGTGAGGGCGCTATTTACTAATGAGAGGAATCTTTTAAAAAAATTAAATATATATATATATATATATATATATATATATATATATATATATATATATAATGACAATTTATTGATCACAAATGTAGTTGAGTGTGACCGTCGGTCAATTCTGCAACAAATAAAATTTATAAAAGTTATGTTAGTAACAGGGATATTCTACTATTTATTCAGTCTTCCCCACCAATTCTTCAATTAAAAATTGCTACTAGTGAATATTTGACCGGATGTGGGAGGATCCGTTCAGTTCAAGCTGATGCGTCAACGACCCCTCTTTTCCGAATGAAAGTTAGTTGGTGCCTACGGGAGCATTTTTGGTAATAACACACTGAATGTCATACTCCCAGACTTGTCCAAATTAGACGTGTCTTTTTAACCTGAATCATCCAGCCTATTCGAGTTCTGGAGCACTCTGCGTTCTTACCGTTATAATTTTAACTTTTTGGTTTGTTTTCTGTAAAGCAATTGACACCAGTTTATTTCATT